ATCCCCATGGAATGCAGGGAAGTGTCTGAACAGCCCTGCTCAGTGAGCTCAGAGCCTGACAAATCCAGCAGCTACCACCAAGACCACCACACTGCCAGGGCCAAGGATCTCCTCATGCCATGCTCCAGCCCTGCTCCAGCTGTGGGCACTCCATCAGTGTGGGGCACACGGGCAGGAGGGCAGCCTGGGGGGCACAGGGCTGGAGCTCAGCCACCCAAGCCCCCCACATTTCCTGATGGGAAATTGTTCCCTGTCCTGTTTGTGAGACGTGATTGGGCTTGACAAGCAGCGTGACTTTCTGAACTGTGCTCAGGCCTTGCGTCATTTGCCTTATTGCGGCCGAATCTCCTCCCAGCCCTCCCTCCTGCCTGCACCCACAGGCACTGGCGGCTGCAACAGGCACCCACAAGCCCAAAGAGCGAAAGACAAAAGGATAAAAATACCCTTGCAAGAAAAAGAAAAGAAAAAGAGAGAATAAACCCCAGGCATCATGTAGATTCAAAGGCTGGAGAGCAGAGAAGCACAGGGCAGGAGCAGAGCAAGCAGAGAGGGGCTCACTTGCAGGTTCCACCGCTGGTTCTGTGTCTGCTCCCACCACAGCCGGTCTCTGGAGCCACATCCCTGCTCTGTCTCAGCAAACTGGGCATTTACACAAACCTCTGTGGCTACTCCCAGCAGGCAATAGCTCACCCATCCCTGCAGTGTGAAGGGAACAAAAAGCAGCATGGAGGAAGACAAGGGGGAACCTAGCCAGAGCGGATGAGAGGTCCCTGTTGCCAAACTGCCCCACTGTTCATCTTCCTTCTCACTTCAATTTCATCCTGCCTGGAGGCACGAAAGGAACTCAGCCTTGGGAGAAGCAGGATGCCAGAAGCAACATTTCCTGCTGAAGTGAAGCCATGTGGGGCCAGGGAAGGATTCTGTCCAGGATGGGCAGCAGCAATCCATGTGGAGCCAGGCAGAGTCGGAACAGGACCCCTGCTCCTGCAGCAAACAGCACCAACCTACTGGGTTTAAATCCAAGCAGAGCCCTTTTCCCAAGGCATGTGCAGGGCCAGCCTGGTGCTCCCTGAACCTGCAAGGGCAGACCTGGTCCTGCCCTCCTGGGGCACAGGACACCCAGAGCGTGGGCACAGCCCCTCACCTGCCCTGGCAGCTCTGGGGCAGGACAGACAATCCCTGCCTGTTCCCAGGGTGAATCCCACCGCCATGGGCAAGGCTGCAGAGAGGGAAGGGTGGGAAAAGTGACTTGTCCACAACTCTAAGGAACATTCCTGCAGTGGAGCAGCTGCAGTCTCAGCTCTTCCTGGGAGCGACACGGGACCGGCAGACCAGCAGCTCCTGAATAAATCCTGAACAGCCACACAGGTCAGGCAGCTGATTTCTGCCTGAAATAAATGGCTTTGCGTAGTGTTCCCCCTCAGGGGAAGCACGTCCTGACAAGCTGCAGTTACTCGAGTGCCCCGAGGCTTTGTGGAGCCTGGTTCCTTTGGAGAGTGTTTTACTGTCTGCTCCCAATGCCAAGAGCAGCTTTATACCAATAATAAACAAGGCAAGACATGGAGCCAGAGCAAACAGCTGATAAAAATCCACATTTTGCTGCCTGTGTTCGCTTTCCTGGCTCCGCAGCACAGGGCTGGTAAGGGGAGCAGGAAATCTTTGTGCTGCTGGCACACGGCCTTCCTCCTGTCAGGTAAAACACTCCCCGGTGCTTCTGCTGCTGCCTCTTGCCGGCTGCCAGCAATCATCGGTGGAGGAATGCACGAGTCATCCCTCGGACTGCGAATGTTCATCAGCTCTCTCTATTGAAGCAGAGCTGTGAGCTGAGCACAGGCTCACATCCCTGCCGGCTGCTGCTGGAGGAGCTCCTGGGCACCCCTGCCCCTCCTGCCAGCCGCAGACAGGGCAGAGCTCCAGGCACTGGAACAGCTCATCCATCAGCGGCTCCGGGGAGCTGCAGCAGCAGCAGCACCGCGGGAGGGAAGGCAGGGACGAGCCGAGGGGAGCAGGAGCTGCTGCGAGCAAGGCAGAGCCCTGGCAGGACACGGCGGTGCGAGCTCCTGCCGAGCACAGCCTGCCATCGCTGTCTGTTCTAAAATTGCATTTAACATGACAAGAGGTGTGGGATGGGCGGGAGCGCTGGCTCTCCCCAGCTCTTCCCTTGCCGAGAGCCTGTCTACACTGCCATATGTTACTGTGCCGTACACTTCATCGTGCTTTATTTGTCATCTCTAGCACATATGGTAACAGCTCCACTGCCTGGCACTTGGAGAGGCTGGATTTAGCTCTGAATCAGGCACAAACAAACACTCTCACTTGGGGCAGTGCTCTTTGCTTCTCACCATCCCCACCTCCTCATGCTGCCTCGAAGAGGAGAAAAAGGCAGGTAGCTGGGCTAGATCAGCACTGCAGGTCCCTTCCAACTGAAAGCATTTTATTTCAGTATTTTATCCTATCCTAGTCCATTATTCTATTCAATTCATTTTGATTCGTGTTATTCTGATCCATTCCATTCTGCAGCCTCTGCCATGGCAAGCAGGAGAAGTAGGAAAAGAACAGCCACACTTCAGTTTGGGATTTACTGAAAGCCATCCCAAAGAACAACCATGGGAAAAATAATCAGATGAAGGAACCAAAGGCGAGGGACTTCTCATACTGGCCAGGCAGGGAGCTGAGCTGAGCCAGATAGGCCCTGAAACCTGAATGGCCATGGTGGTGGCTGCTATCCCTTCTCTTCAATGTCACTTCTGGGAAGCCAAAAGCACAATCCAACCATTTCCCTTGGTGCAATCATGTTTACTTAAACAGAACACACTGGTTCCTTTTACCTTGGGACAAAAGGTAACCACAGGAACATTGCTTGCCTGCCAGTTCTCAGCCTGACATTCCAGATAGAGCTGTGGCTCCAGGGGACTCTGTCCCTGCTCACTCAGCAGGGCCACCCTCCAAAATCTTGTCCCTTTTCCCAGCAGAGGGGAGGTCCCTGCCTGGGACCGAGCACACCAGGGGCAGAGGCTGCAGCAGGGCAGGGCAGGGGCTTTGCTGATCACCAGGCAGGGATGTCCCAGCTGGCTGTGCTGGAACACTCATTTTCATAAGAAAATATTTAAGAAGCCGTCCATGTGCTTGGGAAAATTGCTTTATCGTGGGATGGTTTGAACCGTGCAGGTGTGGACCCTTCTACATGTGCCCAGAAATCTTCTGCCATGGAAGGGAGACACGGAAGCACTGCCTTTACCAGCCCGGCAGTGTGTGGGAGCACTCATGCCCTGCCACAGGGTCACTCAGGTGTCCAGCTGTCTGTCCATCCACCCACCATTCTGCTGAACCCTTGCTCCCTGATGAAAGCCCTGCCCAGCCGTGCTGGAGGTGGCTGCAGGGCCAGGGCCTCATGTTCCTCCACCAAACGAGACCAGAGAAGGAGAAGAATCCACAGGAAGCCCCAGCCTGATCTCACCTCCCACAGAGCATTCCCGGCCGCCTCTGGCAAAGAGCAGCAAACCCTTCTGCTTCTGTTCCCCAGATCAGGTAACTCTCACTGGACATGACTGGAAGCTCTGCATGGAGCCCAGTGAGAAATCCACTGTGTGCCTGACACCACAGCAATTGCACCAAGTGACTTTGACAGGCAGAAGGTGTGTGCAGCACCAAGGAAACTTCTTCTGTGCCCCTCGCACAAATCTGGTGCTTTCTGAAAGGGAAAAGAGTCTCCAGATCCTTATTCTTCAGGAGTGCTGTGGAGCATCAGTAATAAGTCATTTTTGGCAGGCATATGTGAACAGCATCCAGGGAGGGAGAACGTCATCAGAGCAGAGAAATCCTTTCAGCCTGCCTTTGGTATAACTCCAGCAAGCCTGAAATATCCCTGAGAGCTCTGCTCCTTCCTCTTCTCTATCCTGACCCTATCTTGGGCAAGGTACCCAATTTACATGTTTCAGGCCACCGGCTTGCAATGTTTGCTTATTTTTCACAGGGTTTTGCAATTTAAAAGGTTTGGATGGGTAGCAAAATGGGTATTTGCTCAGGGAAAGGCTTCCTCAGTTACTATAATTTCTGTCCCTCCCTATTAGGAGGACTAAGCTTAACTGCCTGAATGCAGGGTGCAAGTGAGCCCCATACAATGTGCTTTCACCCAGTAATTAAGTATCTGGAACTTCTCTCATTATCAGAGCTTCCATTGATAATTCCCAGACGCCAACAGCAAATGCCAGATTCTGCCCCTCCAGCAGCTGCCTAAATATCTTCCAGGGCAGTGGCTCCTGTTGCTAGGAGGCAGGAGCAGTATCTCCAGTCTGCTCCTGCAGGAGCATCACACACTCATCCCACAGCCCCACGAGCACTCTGGACTGGGACCTGTGCAAGGCTTCCCCTGGCACACCACACACTGCTCTGATGGGCTCCTGGGCTGAGATGGGGCTGGGTGGACCATGAGAGCCAACAGAACTGTCTGGGCATCACTGTGAGGGAAATCAGCTTCCCCAGGCCAGCCTGGTGGTCCAGGAGCTGTTCTGAGCAGGGCTGGAGGCTGGCTGCAGCCCAAATCCCATTTTGGTGCACCCCAGACAAATGCAGGGACGTTTTGGATTTGCACCTTCTGAGGCCAGAGAACAGCTCAGCCAGTGGAAGTGTCCAGGCCAGAAGCAGTGGCCAGGCTGTCAGTGTCCTTCAGTCCCCAGGGCCAAGAAACACAGCCAGGGTGGGAGCTTAGCAACCTCCATCCAGCTGGGACAAACCATCTCCACATGGTGCACATGGGCAGCCACGTGCCCAGTGCCCACCCCACCGGCCAGAGGGCACAAGGTCACTGGCCAGAGGGCCAGCAGGTCACCAGCTCTTGCCCTAGGGCTGCCAGTCAAGGTTATTGGTGACGCACCTGCACAAAAAGCCAATCTGGGAGGACCCATGCCAGCAAGGAGGAACCTTGGCACCTGAGCTGCACAAAGCACAGGAGGTATTTAACCCCCTGCAGAGCCCCTTGGAACCTCTTCTGAGCTCTAAACCCTGACAGCTGAGGACACAGGCAGTGTTTTCCTTACCTTTTCTGCAGGGTATCACTTTCAGCTGACTCTGGGAGCTGCTATGGCTGAAACAACAGCTTACTCGGGGTGAGTAACAGGGGAACATCTGAGCTTGTTTGAATAAGAGAAGAAAAATGTTCTCCAGGTTTCGTTTAAGCCTCATTTATAAAACTAACCTGTATTGTTAGCTAGTTGCTTCCCATCTCTTAAAGCAGGTGGAAAGGGACAGCAAGCTGGCCTCTGGCTGCCTGCAGTGTCTGCACTCACCCTGCCAGGCAGTTATTTGGGACAAGTGTGAAATCCTGATTTGCTAAGAGCTTAATAAACTGTCACATAGAAAATAGCACAGTATATCACCCCTGGACATTGCTGGCAATAGAAAGAGCTAAAGTTGCCGTTGACAAAATTGATAAATACTGAGACATATTTTTTGCCAAATATATACATAGAATAACAGACATGTCAAAGAGGTTACCTGGCACAGAAAGACAGCTGGTCCCAACACTACACACAGCTGGCTTGTCCCTTGTCCCTGTCCCATCCCTTGTCTGACACCAGGGCTGTGTGTACCCTCGTGGAGCTTCCAGGCTGCCCAGTGCCCCACTCCTGCCTGGTGCCCCAGCCCATCTCCTCGCTGTCTGCTTGCAGGAGTGGGCCGGTCCTTGTTAAAAACCCACACCTGGACTTGATGGAGGAGGACGTCCTGTACCACTTGGACTTGGGAACGAAGACGCACGATCTGCCAGCAATGTTTGGGGACATCAAGGTAAAGAGCAGGTGCAAAAGCGAGGCAGCAGCTCCCCCTGCACGGGCTCTCCCGCTGTGCATCCCGTGGTGCTACCGGCCGTTCCGGGGCCCTGCTGCTGCCAAAGCTCCCACGAGGCGGGGTCTGGCTCCTCGGCTAAGGGTGTCAGCAGCCAAGGCAGCCTGGGCAAGGAGGTTGTCTGTCCTTGTCTATTTTGGGCAGAAATCACAACAGAAAATTATCCTTTTAAAAACCTGTAGCTCTGTAAAACCTGATTTTATATGGGCCCCATGTTGGAGGACAGACAGAGGAGGCATTTGTCTAAATCATCTTGATCATCATCTGCTGGAGACAAAGGAAGGAGGATGTCATATCATTTTTGGCTGAGACCTGCTGTCAAAACTGACTTGTCACAATGACATCCTCTTCCATTTCAAACCACTCTTTCCCTAGTCATGTGAGGAAAGAGCCTCGGTGCCCAGGGCTGGAGCAGCCTGGCACAGCACAGCATGGGCTCCTGCTGCCCTGTACCCTGGCAGCAGGACCAGCAGCACTGCGCTGGCAGCTGCACACTCACCCTCCTCCTACCTCCAGCGAGCATATTTTCCTTTAATATGTAAAATTTGTCCTTTTTACTCCCTGACTTTATGGCCTCTGTGCCATCAGCAGTGCTTACTAATTGCAGTCAGCACTGTTCATAGAATAAATTAACATCCGAGTTTCCTTTGCTATCAGTGGTGATACTACCAACTCAAATTTGCTGAATTATTTTAGATTTTCTTGCCTAGGACTGATACCCAAGGCTGTGGAGCTGCATGGCTGCCCAGATCCAGGGTAGTTCCCGCCCTGCCAGAGTGCCAGCCTGGGTTTTGTGTTAACTCCTGGCTTTGAGACCCTCAGTTGTTCAGTGTCCCTGGAGCGATGGTGAGGCAGCGGCATCCCGCTGCTTTCTGTGGGAAGGTGCGCCTGGCGCAGCCACCAGTGGCACAATCAGGCTGACTCGCGGCCCTGGTTCTAGCTCAGTACCACCCCGATGTTTTCTTTGCAGTTTGTGTGCGTTGGCGGCAGCCCCAACAGGATGCGGGCGTTTGCGCAGTTGATGCAGCGGCAGCTGGGGCTGGCGGCTGCCGGCGAGGACGTGGCTGACATGTGTGCAGGGTCGGACCGCTACGCCATGTACCGGGCAGGGCCCGTGCTCTCCATCAGCGTGAGTCCTGCGCCGTGCCCAGGGGCTGCTGCTGTGCCCTGTCCGTGCCAGCTCCCACTCCGCCTGCCACGGGGATGGGGCTGCCACCACCTCTCCCTCACACGCCTTTGCTTCCCCCAACGCCCATCAGCAGACTTTTTTCCTCTTTTCACTGTTCAGCCACTGCCACCAGTGCAAGCTCCCAGCCATGGCAAAGCTGCTTCTGCTGGAACAGCATTCCCTGGCACCGGCACTCTCCGTTTGGAAAGTGCCGCATTAACAACAGACGTGCACGTGTTCTGCTCAGCTCAGTTTGGGAGGCAAAACCACTTCTCACCACACATGAACTATGAAACGCTGCTGAGAGTATTACAGTGATACAAGCTCTAAAAGAAAAACCTGGCCTTATTATTAGTTATTCTTTTAGAGCAGGATTTTTGGCACTGAACAAAGGGAAAAGCAAACACAGGCTGTGCTGGGGAGCACTCACACCCAAAGGCTTGGTCCTGACACAATTTCTTCAGGCACAAGATTAGTCTGAAATGTGATTCACAGGAGATGAAATCACTCACACAACAGAGTTCGTGTTTTGTCCCTCTGACAAAACCAAACCAATCCTGATCAAGGGAATCAGGCCTGAGGGAATCAGTCTGAGAGGATCCAAGGGGGAGAACTGCCACAAGATTTGCTGTTCCCCAGCCTGGCAGCAGCAGTGACACAGACAGAAGGAAATCCTTGCTGAGCTTGTGGCCATGCATCAGCTTTGGCCAGTGCAGAAGGGGACATGGGACAGAGCACATGGCCACCCCGAGGAGCATCATGCAGAGCAGCTGCCAACCTCACATTTCTGCAAATTGCTTAGAAACACAACTGAGCTCAAATGTACGGAGGCAGGAACACAGATTCCAGCTCAGAATATTTACAATGAGAATAAATTTTTTAGGCATTGGTGAATAAGCTAGGCTGATGTTTCAGAATAACAACATGCCAAAAGGTTTCATATTTAAAACATGATACAAGGCAAACAGAGCATTGGTCCCACAGCCAAGAGAAAGGAGACAAAGCAACACAAAAACTGGCTGTGTGCCTTAATCAATGGAGCTTCCTTACATGCTTCCTTTTGCTTTTTGAAGATGATAGCAAAACCAAAAAAGTGAGGCATTTTCAAGAGGAAAAACCAGACTCCAACACCAAATGCTTTTTGTACTTAAAAGTTAAGGTAAGAAAAGGATGCTGGTCTAGCAATGGAGCAGAAGACAGATGACCAAGCAAGGGAGCACTGGGCAGATGCAGCAGAAGCCCCAGCAGCTCCAGGCCTGCAGAACATCTGCCAGCCCTGGGGAACAGCAGCAGAGGAGGGAGTGGGGCAGCACTGTCCGTGGAGGATGGGAACAATCCAGTGCCAGCAGTGGGGAGCTGGTAGCCAGGCAGGTGCTGGGGACAGAAGGGCAGCAGGCCAGGGACTGTGAGCCAGGAAGAAGGACAGCAGCCTGCAAGGCATACAGCAAACACCTCACCCTGAAGCCTGTCCTCACCAAGGGACACAAACCTTTCCATTGTCCTTTGTGCCCAGCAATGTAGCAGAGATGCTCCAGTGTGGGGTGAGGACAGGCTGGAAGGCACATAGAGAGGTGAAAGCTCAGGTTGTCCTCACTGAAATTCAAATTCACCACTCCCAGAGCACGAGCAAACAAAGTGCAGGTCAGCACATGGTGTAAGGATTGGCAGAGCATGGGGGAGGTCTTGGAGCATTCAGATGTTGGGATGTATTTGTGGACCCTCCTTGAAGGGCAGGCACCATCTGTGTGCCTGCACAGGAGCCCCAGGGATGAACACCAGCTCTACTGACTTGAAGAGCCTTTAAAGCATCGAGGGGAGGAGAAGAGGTTACACATCTCACTTGGACAGACTAAAAAGACCCCAAGATGTCTCTTCCCCCTCAAAAAATTGCTGTTGGCATCAGCAGCAGAAAAGGCCACAGCATAACCCTGAGCTCACTGCAGTCATGTACCTGTCACCTGTGGCAGCCTCATGGGGACTGATGCTTCTCTTTTCTCTCCTTCCAACAGCATGGAATGGGCATCCCTTCCATTTCCATTATGCTTCATGAGCTGATCAAACTGCTGCACCATGCAAAATGCCGGGATGTCACTATTATACGCATCGGTACTTCGGGGGGCTTAGGTAAGCAATTCATGGTCTTTCTTCAGAGCAAAACAGCTAGTATTAAAAGAACTCTCAGCAATAGGTCACACAGTTCTGAACTTTTGCATTTTGTCAGGTCTCTAAATATCAAATGTGGTATTTTGGTTTGGGTTAAACCCAGAAAACTTGTAGCAACTGGCTTGGCAGAGTGCACATTCTCAGAGTGTACAAAGGCTTGGATTCCACTACAGCCAAGTGTCACTTTCCAAACAGAAGACATGGATTGGTGGTGACCCAAATGAATTTGTGTTTCCTGGCTGGGGCAGTGGTGCTGCCCATGCCTGCACAAGCTGCTGAGGGTACACGATCTCTGCAAGCCAGAAGCAGCTAAACTCCTGTCACTCAGCACATTCTCACCATCACTTACCTTGTGCTGACTCTGTACATTTTAACTTGTACATCCGTGCTACTTCATGAATTTCAATTATTTCCTGACATCTTCTTTACTCGCTGAAAAGAAGAGAGAGATCTATTGAGATTCTCCTGTTGTGCTGAAGTGTGACAGCAGGACACAGGTTTTATGAGCTCTGGCAGCCTCAGCTTCCATTCCCACAGGGATCGAGGCTGGCTCTGTTGTGATCACTGACACGGCCGTGGACTCCTCCTTCCAGCCACGCTTTGAGCAGGTGGTGCTGGACGATGTGGTGGTGCGCAGCACCGAGCTGGACAAGGACCTTGCAGAGGAACTGCTGGCCTGCAGCAGGGACATCCCCGACTTCCCCACGCTCATCGGCCACACCATGTGCACCTACGACTTCTACGAAGGTAAAGCCAGCTTTGTCTGTCCTTCCTCACCACGTGCAATGCCAAGTCTTTCCACTCTTCCAGGGACCCCCAGGAGGGCTGCAGGCAGAGAGGGAGCCCGGGCAGAGCAGGGGGCACCCTCAGAACACACCTCTGCTTGCATCTTGCTGAGTTTGCCACCAAGCTGTTCCCCTACAGCAAGATTGTCACTTCAGAACTACCAAATGATAGGAAAACATTAGGTTGCTTGTGAGATTTCCATAAACAAACTTTGGTTACTCTGGAACCATTTCCTTTGCAAAATTAAATGCTGATTGCAGAGTAGATGAAATGTAATAGATGAAGAATTAATAATCTGAGCACTATTTATAAACCTTTAGAACTGCTTGCAGATGCAGCCATCTGTGTGTTGCTCAAGTCCATATTTTATTTAAACAAAAAGCCATTTGAGAGGATTAAAGTAGGAGCAGCAATAAACTGAAGGGCAGTCCCAGGTTGGCCCAGCCTCAGGTAAGCATTTGCCTGTCCCATTGCCTGCAGGCGCTGTGAGAGGAGGAGCTGCACGGGGCACAGGTCTGCTCCGAGCACACAGCAGGACAGCCAGAGCCTGAGGGCTTACAGGAGAGGGTGGGGATGGGTGCCCACGCTGAGCACACTGTTAGACCTGCCTCGGGCTGCAGCAGGGGAGCACCAGTGCCCCGGGCCCAGCCCCACGACCAGCACCAGGAGTGCCTCTGCAAGCAGCTCCAGCTTCCATCCACAGCAGCCACTGCAGAAAATTAAACCCATATTAAAGGGGTTTCTCTCCCCAGTGCTCATATTCTTGTTGTACCTCTTCAACAGTCAGTTGGCATTTTTGGGATTTAACCTGGCAGACCTTCACAGCTGATAGGCAGCAATGGCTGTCCCCACAGAGCACAGCATGCCCTGCTACCTCCCAGCCGTGGGCTGACTCCACCTTTTACCCATGCTGAAACCTGTGTCATCCCTCCCCTATTCAGAGACACGTCATGCTGGCTTTAACACTGAGGGGAATGTGAATTAACCAGCTGCTCACAGGAAAACTTTGTGGACCTCAGACAGAATCTGGGCACTGCTGGACTTCGCATTTGCACCTACACCCTGCGTCCCACGACCCCATGCAAGGCCAACAGTGACAGTTCTCTGCTTCCTTTCCAGGTCAGGGGAGATTGGATGGTGCATTATGCTCTTTTTCCAGTGAAAAAAAGTTGGAGTACTTAAGGAGGGCTTATGATGCTGGTGTGAGGAATATTGAGATGGAGTCCACAGCCTTCGCTGCCCTGTGTGGACTGTGTGGCCTCAAAGGTAAGTCCTGTTGCTTCCACCTCCTCCCCATGCACAGGCTTAACCCCCTCCATGGGTCCTCTTCAGTGCCAGAAGGCCAAACACACATCCTTAATGATTTCATCTAGAAAAGGACACCAAAGCAAATTTCATAGCTCAATAAAACCCAAGTGAGCATTAGAAGACCTGAGTGCGTGCTGGAAAAACCAACAGCTCGCTCCCCTCACGCCCCTCCGGGCCCCACAGCAGGTCCTGGTCCGGCCGTGCCGGGGCACAGCCCGGGGCAGCAGAGCCCCGGCCGCCGGGCCGGGCCGTGAGGGCTGGGCAGGAGGGGCCGGGCTGGGCTGTGAGGGCTGGGCAGGAGGGGCCGGGCCGGGCTGTGAGGGCTGGGCAGGAGGGGCCGGGCCGTGAGGGCTGGGCAGGTGGAGCCGGGCTGGGCCGTGAGGGCTGCGAGGGCTGGGCAGGAGGGGCCGGGCCGGGCAGGTGGAGCCGGGCAGGACGGGCCGGGCCGGGCCGGGCCGGGCCGGGCCGGGTCCTGAGGTGAGCGCGCTCCGGCCTCCTGCAGCCGCCGTGGTGTGCGTGGCGCTCTTGGACCGGCTGGAGGGGGACCAGATCCGGGCGTCCCACGAGGTGCTGTGGGAGTACCAGCAGCGGCCGCAGCGCCTGATCGCCGCCTTCATCCGCAAGCGCCTGGGCCTGTGCCCCACGGACTGACGGTGACAGCACGGGCACCGGTGCTGCCCGGAGCGGGACTGCGGGCCCGGCTGCACACGGAGCCTGCTCCGGGAACCGGGACCGGGACAGCTCCGGAGACCGGGGGCAGCTCCGGGAACTGGGACAACTCTGGGCCCGCGGAGTGCGGAGCGGGCGGAGCCAGCACACACCGGGAGCGGCCCGAACCAGCGGACACCGGGAGCGGCCCGAACCAGCGCACACCGGGAGCGGCCCGAACCAGCGGACACCGGGAGCGGCCCGAACCAGCGGACACCGGGAGCTGCCGGCCTGCAGCGCCGCTGGAACCGCACCGACCAGATGTGCGCTGACGAGGAATTGAGGCTGCGGGACGGAGCCGCAGGTTCCTCACTCCTGGCTCCAGCCGCCGTGATGAAATGTCCTGTTTGGGTCACTCCTGTCCACAGCGAGCTTCCAGGAAGGATAAAGACAAAACCTAAGTAAATGACATGAAAATTAATCTGTATTTGTGAGAGTTATTGTTACTGCTGTTACAAAGGCCGTTCAGATTTTCATTCCTACAGTATTTAAAGATGTCATAAACAGACACATGCCAGAGTCTGGGACACCACAGCACCCAGCTGTGGTCAGCTGAGGACCTGACCTTCAGGCACTGGTTCCATTAAAGACACTTTTCTCACCAAAATTCACAAATAAGTAGTCTATCTTGTAACCAAATAGCTTAATTTTCACAGAGAAATTCTCATCAAGCTTTATAAAAGTACGATTGAGAGTGAACTGCCCATCCCTGGCATAAAGACAGCTGAGCTCTGAACTGCCACCGCTACCCATTTTCAGTCCTGCAGATCTGCTTTTAAGGGCAAGGGAAAAAAGCCAACTGCCTAGGTTTGGGATGATGCCTTCCTGGGAATTGTCTCACAGCCAGTCTGTTCCCCACAGCAAAGCACTTCTGATCTCCCCACAGGAATAATATGCAGCCAGTTGTGAGGTGGCCAAGTGTGTTTTAAAAATAACAAGTTACCCCAAAGGAGATACCAAAATAAAAAGCAAAATATACACAGAATTGTAATTTTAGCACAAGCACACAGAGGCTGAGCCCAGAAGACATCACTCCCCCAGCTCAGGGCAGGCTCTGCAGCATTTCCCCACTAAACTCAGCTGCAACACTGGGATTATGCTGTTCCTAGGCTGAACCTGTGCTCACTCTCAGGAGTCTGTCACACCAGAAAATAATGAAATAAAGATCCCAGCTCTATTTATAATTTATACTGAAAAACTAATCTGCAATAGGAAATTGTATGACTGGTTTGCAGTAAATATGATGCAGCAAGTTGCCTTCTAAATATAGACAATCACAAAGAATATTAGAAACATACACGGCAATGAAGATTTTATAACTAAAAGAATCAAATTCTCAAGAAACCTGGAAAGAAAGTTGTGGGATTTATTCATGTAACATAATAAAATCTAAAGTAACTGCTGTGCAAAGCTATTCTGGACTTGTGCTGCCAGTTAAATCCCAAGAATTCCTACTCGAGGTGCTGCACGTGAGATGGGCTGTGCTGTGTGTAAGAGTCCTGAAGCAAGGTGTCCCAGCTCCCCGTGGAAAGGGCCATGGGCAATCCCAGGACACCAGCACACAGCCCAGGCTCTCCTGCACCAGGCAGGTGCAGTGTGACACAGCACAGCTCAGAGAGGCTTGGTGTGCTTTGGAATGGGACACAGCAAAGGGAATTGATAGAAGGTTTGCTTACTGCGGCCAGACCAGACCCCTCATCTCCTCTGCCCCTCACATGAGAGGTGCTCTACATTTTAAAAGCTGTAGATTCCATGTCTCTTCTTGGAAGCTTCGGTGGTGGAAGTTTTGACAAAACCTCTCTTGCATAAAGTGTTTTATGCAGCCCAGCTTCTCGGAGAGCCATCTCCACACGGAGCCTGGGGTCAGAAATGACCTGTTAAAAAACCACAGCAATGATCAGCAGAAGCCACAAAACTCCCTGAGGAACTGCTGCCATCCCTCATGTTCTCCATGCACACAGCCCCAAGTGCAGCACAGACTCCCATCTCCTCCTGGTTTTTCCTATGGAATCCAAGTGCTTCGAATGCCTTTATGGTTTTTCTCAGTGTCACCTTGTGCTTACATGGCAGTGCCATTTCCATTTGTCAGAACAACAGTTAATCCCAGGGAAATTACTTCTGAAATTCGTCAGAAGTTTATCCAACAAAATCTGTAAGCCTCTTTCCAATCATTCCTCAGTCTGCAGTGGGACTGCACTGGAAGTACAAGGAGGAGCAACACCTTGAAGAAGTCCCAGCATCACCTCCCCAGTGCCCAGAACTGCTGGAGACCAGCACTGGGAACGTGATCCAGAGCCCTGCAGCACTGGGAAGGAGCACAGGGATGTGCTGGGCAGGGATCACAAACTGCAGCCTTAGCAGCACCAAACCTGGCTGGAGTTGAGATAGAATGGGCATGCTGAGAATTAAGGCATAGGACCCAAATATACATGTTCAAATATACATGTCCAGAGCATGTTTAAGTTTTGTCAGAACCTCCTACATTCATCAGATTTGGGGAATTTTAATAACCAAACAAAGCCTACATCTTTCCATTACCAAACTGAGAAGCTTTAAAATGTCTTAAAATGAGAAGTGCTAGACAACTTTAGCTATAGACATTGTTAAATTTCATCTTATTCATTGTCAAAAGAAACCTTTTACACCAAAGAATTGTACTATAGCTCTTCTCTTTTTGTAAATAATTTTCAAATTCCAGAGTGGGAATAATTGCAAATGCATTGACTGAGCAGATAGGGAACAGTGAGGGAATCTAAAGATATCCAGATGTTCCTTGAGTGCATTTGAAATTGAGGGAGCAGCCTCCTCAGCAACCTGAGTGCCCTGAACCCCGGGCACAGTCAGTTCAGCCCGTGATTCATCTACCCAGCAGGACTGCAGCCCATTACCTGCTCTTCACTGTACGTGTGCAGCCTGAACAGGGGCTGCTGCAGATCAAACTCCTCCTTGCTCCCAACGCCCATCCGAGCCTTGGACGCCACCGTGTCAGCCACTGCCCTGGCTGGATCTGATTTGGCAACAATGGCAACCTAAAGGCAGGGCATGAAAGGAGCAGTCACTCTGTCTGTGTGGAGCTGAGGGGAGAGCAGGTCATTGTCAGTACCACCTTTGAGAACACCATCATTCCCTGTCCCTGCAGCAGAACAGGGTCCCAGCTGCAGGAAGTGTGAGACACTTCCCCAGACACGAGCTCCAGTGTCCAACCCAGCCTCTACAAGGATCCAGCAGCCTCATCATTCTGCAAAAACCACAATTCCTGCGAGTCCAGACTTTCTTCTTCTTCCAATGGTAACAAAGCTGTTCAGGGTGATAGTTCACAATTTTTACAGAGTCATGGGCATCAGCGTTGAGTGATATGCCCCAAATAACACAACTCTGATTTTTTTCTGAAGTTCAACTGCTTCAACTGTGCAATTTCCTGTAGCTAGATCAATATCAAAGACTCCCAGACACTGTATTGTGCCAGAGTTAATATTTTTTTCACTGTTTACTTTCTTTGTGTTAAAATGTTCAGATACTGGCCAATACTACTTTGGAAAAACACAGAATGATGCACGAGCAAAATAACTAAAGTCAGAAGCCCATATGAAGAATGGGTAAAAGTAGAAAAAAATACTTTAAATTGCATAAGATAATTTTTTCACCTATCTCTTTAATAAAATGTCATCTTTGTATTGCTGCCCAAATCTACAGGCCAAATGACTTTAGTAGATATTTCCTCTCCCTCCTGTCCAAACAAACAATGTACATACTTTATGAAGCAATATTTCCTTAGTGTGAAACAGAGAATAAATATTGGCCAGAGAAGTATAATGAAGTGGGAGCATCACCATCCCAGGCAAAGACCCTTCTAGAAGCATTTTCTACTCTGAGAATTGAGAGAATTGAGTCAGTGGGAAGAGCTCAACAGATCATGACTATCAACCAGTCTCTTTGGAGGAAAAACAAGGAAATACACACAGAAATGTAAATTAAGGCAAAATTACTCTTTCAAAAGTCAGCAGCAGAAATAAATAACCCTAGTACTACTTTTACTATGACTTGGCAAGATTAGTAAGTATTTTATGGGTGTCTTTTTAAAAGTAATGTGCTAAAGTTTCAGACTCGAATATCTCTGAAGAAAAGTCATCTAAGGTGTGCAAGTTTTCAGAATTTAAAAAGAATATAAATTACTCGTAAATCTTACCTAAGACTCAAGGCAGACTTAAGGTTATTAAACCAAAACCCAGAAAAAAATCACAGAAGAAAGTTCACATCCAACCTGAAAAAAACCTTCCCTATCTCCTCTCAGATATCAGCAGCTCCTACACTACAATTTAAAGTCATAATGTTCCTTTTGTCAGAGCTACAAAGGACACAGGATTTATAACAGGAGGCAATTCCTGTTAGTCAGACCTGAAGTGCCTTGTTCCCTTATTTCTTTTGAGAGATTGTTTTTTACCTGTGCGTGCCCGGCCGTGTGTGTGGGTACCGGGACAGGAGCCCCGCAGCCGCGCCCGGCCCGCACTCACCCGATGCCGCAGCGCTTGCAGGCGCCGCTCCCTGCGCTGCTGCTGCTCCCTGAGCTGCTGCTGCTCCGTCCGGGCCTGCAGCCGCTTCTCCAGCAGGGCTCGTCGGAACAGCACCCTGCGGGCACAGGGGACACCGGGCAGTGACACTGCCACACTGCCGGGCTGTCACTGCAGCTGGGAACCTGCTCTGATCCCTGCACCGCGGGCACAGTGACACTGCCACACTGC